TTAATCTTTTTGAAGGACGTTGAAGGTGTGAGATATGTTCTTATAGGCGTGTTGTAGCTGTTGAATGTTGTCAGCAATGGCGTTAATGTTATGGATAGAAGTATCAAAACGTTGACTTATTGTAGATAATGTTGACCGATATTCGGAAAATGTAGAGGTAAGGGTGTCATCGTCTACGACACCGAAGAGCGAGTGCGCAACTTTCCCTACAATGTTAATCAGTCCGCGACGCGATCGACGTTTGTGTACGACAAACTGTTGCAAGGTAAACATTGTTGAGTTTATAGCTTTGTCCAGAAGGAAGAACTTCTCGTGAGATAGATTGTCTTCAGCTATTTCGTTGCGGAGCCTGGTTATCTCGTTTAAGTGGTGAATGGCTATGTTAGAAATATCAGAGAGGGGGCGAAGGGAGACCCTAACTTCGATATTACTCGATATCGGGAATACTGTGCCTAGATTTTCGATTAATGCACCGGGCACGGCGCGTAACCTTTCGGGTAGGCCTGGCTCGGCGAGCAAGGGTGAAGCCATGGCCAGGAGCATCAGAACGAGCATCTGAAATGAGAGACACGGTGTTAGCCTGTTAGTTTATAACGGGTGTTGGGTGTGTAATGACGTAGATTTGTGTTGTTGCGTGGGAAACTGAATTAGTCTGAGGTGTGTGCTGGTGAGTAGTGATCGCTAGCTAGCTTCAATCTATCAAAATGGTACCAAGCAACGGTGTTTGTTGATAAACATTTACAATTTGCTTTATTGTTCTTTACTTCGAGTACTCTATACGGACCGTCAAAGCGAGGGGCGAGTTTAGGACGCATGGAGTCACTGGTGTGTACTTTTCTGAAAACTAAGGCGCCGACACCTATGGACTTAGCGCGCGCAATCTTATGTTGGTATGACAGTATTTGATCCCTAGATTTTGTAAGAAACTCTTTAGCTTTCTGGAACGCGATCTTATTTCTGTTTAAAAGATATTCTGCATAACTGTCCGAGTATTCAGGCTTGCGTCTAGTCTGGAAAAGGTCATACGGCAGTCTCTTGTCTGAGCCATACAAGAGGAAGTGTGGAGTATCTCCAAGGGATGAATGGAAAGTGCTGTTAATGGCGGATTGGATGGTGAGGAGGAGGTCGTCCCAGTTGTCAGATGTGGTGTCGACAGTGATCTCATAAACGTTAGAATAGAGCCATTAAGGCGCTCGGTAATGCCATTGCTCTGTGGTCTATAAGGTAAGATGTTCACGCGGGTGACATTCATTATCTTACATAGGTTGTCCATGACCTCATTCTGAAATTCTGTCCCGTTGTCACAGGAGAAGTACGTAGGTGTGGTGTACCGTTGGATGAAGTCATGGAAGGCCTTTGCAACGACTTTCGCGGATTTATTTGGGACAGGGACTAGCTCGCAATACCTGGTAAAGTTATCCACGAATACGAGAATGTGTTTATTCCCACTACGCGTGGTTACAAAACCTGATAAAGTGTCGCAGGAGACCTTCTCAAAGGGAAAATCCGGGACGTCATAGCGCAAGGCAGGGGCGGGCTGGTTGGTAGAGCCTTTGAAATAAGGACAAACTTTGCAAGACTTAACGTGCTTCTTTACCTTTGTTATGAGTAATGGGAAGAAAAATCTCTGTCTGGCCATCTGAATGGCTTTATACACTCCGCAATGTGCTGCTTCCCGCGACTCGTGTACGAGTTGAAGGACTCTTGGTTCGAGTGATTCCGGAATTACTACGACGTCTCTCACGAGGCCCCGACGTCCTTTAATTTTCTTGGGGGTGGCTCTTCTGAAGAGCAGGCCGCTGTCGGCTAAATAAAATTGTCGGACTGGCAGGCGTCTGACAGGAAACCAAGGGTTCGCCTCTCTAGTTTGCCTATTATGTCCATGTAAACGGGGTCCTCGCGTTGCGCACGGCGAATTTCTTCCTCGGAGGGAGGGTCCACAGGTTGGTTAGCTACGTTAGCTAACACCGGCGCAGTGGTTCGGGCTTCATGACGTTTAGCAAAGCTAGGAGGGAAGGGGGTGGACTTACAGGCCTGTAATTCCGCGGGGGATGGCAAGGGTGCGCGGAGAGAGCATCCGCGACGACATTTTGCCGGCCAGGTAAATAGACGATCGTTACGTCGTATTCGGCTAAGACTTCTATGGCACGTGCCCGTCTTCCATGGGGATCTCTGCCGTGAAGGGCGGTCGTGAGAGCGGAGTGGTCGGTGTGTACTTCTATCTTATAACCGAGTATCAACTCCCGGAAGTGACGGAGTGCATAGGTGATAGCTAAGAGTTCACGGTCCGTAGTATGATACGACCGCTCTGCGGGTTTGAGGGTCCTGCTTGCAAAGGCAATGGGGCGCAGCTTGCCATTTACCTTTTGGTGAAGTGTTGCGCCTAATCCTACGCTAGACGCGTCAGTCGTGAGCACAAAGGGCAACTCAAAATCAGGGAAGGCCAGAACAGGTGCGTTGGCTAGCAATGCCTTCAGTTGCAGGAAGGAATCCTCTGTCTCTTTGGCCCACTCAAAGGGTACGTCTTTCTTAAGCAGCGTCGTGAGGGGTTGCGCAATAGATCCGTAATCTTTGATAAATGGTCTATAAAAACCGGAAAGACCAAGGAAGGACTTCAGGTCTTTTTGGTTTTGTGGTCTGGGGAAGTCAATCACGGCTTGTACTTTGTTCTGATTGGGTGCAATGCCATTGGACGTTAGGGTATGACCTAAGAAATCGAGCTTTGACCGAAAGAATTGGCACTTTCCAGGGTTGATGGTTAGCCCTGCGCTTGCTAGACGTTCGAAATACCTGACGCAACTTTTTCTCATGTTCAGAGACTGATGGGGAACATATTAAAATGTCATCCAGGTAAACCATAACCTGATCGTTAATCATACCACTGAGCACGATTGACATCAATCTACTGAAGGTGAGAGGAGAATTACGTAAGCCAAATGGTGTTCTCAGGAATTCGAAGTGTCCCATGTGAGTAGAGAATGCGGTAAGTGGTCGACTTTCTTTAGCTACTGGCACTTGCAAGAAACCCTTAGCCAGGTCAAGAGTGGAGAAAACTAATTTCCGGAGCCAATATCTTGCAACAACAGACGGAGATTCGGAATAGGGAACGGTTCTGGAATAGTTACTGCGTTAAGCTTACGGTAATCTACGACGGGTCTAAATGATCCGTCTTTCTTGGGGACGAGAATCATGGGACTGGCCCAGGGCGAATTACTTCTCTTGATTAAGTTCATGTCCAGCATTCCTTGCACTTCATTTTCGAGAGCCTTCCGCTTTGAATGCGGGATTTTATATGATGGAATGTAAACTGGTTTCGCATCAGGCTCGAGGGAAATGGAGTGTTCAATCAGATCAGTACTTCCTATGAGACGGTCTTTTGACGGCAGTACGGTCGGGTAATCGTGAAAAATCTTTTCCAAGATATTATAGCCGTCCTGAAAGGCTAATTTCTGTGACAGAATATCTTGAAGAACTTCATTGTTAACCTGGGGAGGGCTATGTGATGCTGCGCAGACGGGGGAGGGAGTAGGCAAGTCGAATTCGCGGATTGGGAGATCGGTGAATTCGAAGTTAAGTACAGGTACGCCTCCTCTAATCTCGAGGGGGACTGGGGTCAAATTCATGAGGTGTACCTGGCATTTACCATTTACTATTTTATAAAGTGAAGGCAAAGCTGCGCAGCCTTTTACTCGTACATGGTCTGTTAACACCAGTGCCGTGCCGTCTGCCGTCGATGCGGACACGTTACATAAGAGGTCACTGAAAGGGGGGATCGTCGTCGTTGCGGTCAAGGTAAGTTGGGGCAAAACATCGTTACGAGTCCATGAATGAGCGCGGGGTCGTCAAGGTCGTCATTGCGCGCGGGTGACGGGGATCTCGCAAAGGTAACGTTACGGTCGACTCTCTGTCTTGAGTGGAGCGATCCGCAACTTTACGCGAATATGAACCCGTGTCGTCGGCATTCCCGGGGTGGGAGGGAGGGTGGGGGTAGGAAGGGAGGGCCGCGGCCGGGTGGAGAAGGGTGATGGGGGGGAGGGTGGGGGAGGTCTGGGTGAGTCGCTGTCGTGCGTGCAAGCAGTCCGTTTTCTTTGCGTTGTTCATATATCAACATCGACGGGTGAAAAGGATCGGGGTGTGTCCACAAACATGAGGGCTCTCTCAGGGGGTACTTAACACCATTGAAGATGATGGAATTACTTTGTGGATGCAGGGAAATGCCGCTTCTGAACAAGAAATCATGACCCAGTAGTAGATTACCTGGGGTGAAATTTTTGTTTACAACAACAAATGAATGGGAAAGGTAATACCTCCGATTTCGATGTTTAAAATCTTCCTTCCCAGAGAGCTCGTCGTGTTACCCGTAATACCGCAGATGGTCGTATGGGAGGGCTGCAATTCCAACGAAAAACCAAACTCCTTTAAGGTATCAATGGATACTACACTACATGATGAACCGTTATCCAAGAAAAAGTATGCACGACGATTATTCAATGTAGAGGGGAGGAGAGGAGGCTGGCTTTCGTCGTTGGGAATGCATGATGTTGATATATGGCGTATGGGATCTATTACGTCTGATGCCAACTGAGGGAATCGCGGAAGTCGTTCTGTAATTCGATTATGTCTATGTCTGTCCCTTCGACTCCAAAAAAAGATCGCTGCTTATGTCTGCGTTGTTTTAGCAGGTCGCGAGTTATTTTAACCTGTTCTGGGAAGGATTTGCAGTTCGCCCAGTTATGTCTTGCTACTGTATGGTGATACGGGCACGACGAGGGGAACGTGCAGTCCGCGGCGATATGGCCGTACCTTGTACAATTAAAACATTGCTCTGGACTTGGTAACCATCTCGTTATTGCGGCTTGCTGCTGGATGGACGAGGTGCCGTGTATTGTCTGTGTAAAGTATGCTGTCGGTTGGATGGGTCTTTGTGTTATAGTGTGTTGTGGCGTGCTGATTGTTGTGTCGTTGAACTGGTCCGGGTGTTGTGTTGTGTATTGGGGGTTGCGGGTTCAGGCCTGTTTGTTGAGTTGGTCGGGTGTCTTGTTGTATGTCGTATTTGTGTGTGTGTTCGTTCTGTGTCACAACGCCTGCATGTACGGCTGCCGTAGGTGACTTTTCTTTAACCGATTTCGCGAATTCGCCGGGAAGAGCATAAATGGAGACTGATTCACAGGACCTCCAGACCTTTTCCCTAACCGCCAATGGCAGGGACGAGGCCAGGATTCCCTTGGTGAAGTACGTCATCCACGGACCATAGTTTTCCCCTCAAATTCTTTTCTAATAGGGCAGGGCTCGTTCGACGGTATGGACTGCACCCATTTCCAAATCGCAATTTGGAGCTTATTACAGTAAGCCCGCACATCCTGTTCGGACAACGACGCTGGCTTCATTGCAATAAGGGCTGCGAATTGCAAGTGATGACTTGCGTCGACTGGCCGGAAGGATGCTTGGAAGACCGACTTAAATCTTTCCCAATTGCATAAGGCCAAGGGAGCAGTCTTGAACGTGTCCAGGGCGTTACGTACATCAGGGATGGTAAGGTCTAGTCTACACTCAGCACTTATAACGCAATGTTCATTAAATTTCGGGTCGGTGTCGGGAACTCCACTTTGTCGTACCGATATTTCAACATCCCTTAAGAAATTTTCAACGGGCATAGAGGTTCCATCGAATTTCGTCAACACATTGAAGGTTTGGTGAGGGTGGTATTGCGCCATGGTAGTGTTTGCGTGGGAGGATGGGTGGGTGTTGGAGGATGGAGGGAGGAATGGAGGATGGAGAAGGATTGGCCAAAGGGGAGGTCAGATCAGAGGAGTCAGAAATTGGGTTAACAGGGGGAGAGTTAGCAGTAGATGGGTTTTGTACAGGTAGAGAAGTATGATGAGAGGTGGATGGGGTGGGTGATTGCACTCTGTCGTCGTTCGTTTCGTTATGTCCCATTAACTGCGAGTGGGTCCAGCACTTTATCTTTAAAGGATTTTCCGGTTCTCGTTGTAGAACTCATGTAAGGTGATTCGTACTATACTAACTATTCACGTCACTTTGCTGTGCAAGGGATGCGTAACCCGAGAAAAAAAAACAAAATTATCAATCGCTACGGAATTAGCAAATGTAAAGTATACCGACTTTAACACAATGATAAGTTACACTGTATCGGGCCTTGGATGGGTGGGGGAAAGAGGGGGGTTGAGTAAGCACCACTAATTCAGACACGCACGTACCTTGGCTTCGGCTGGAGGAGCTGTTTGTTGTCTCGGCGTGGGCGTCACGGGGACTCGGACGCCGCAGATCGTGGGTTCGTGGGAGCGCGGCGGGGTTAGCGTAGGGTTCTTTTCTTGACCTATCTTGCTTTCCGGAGGCTGGGGTCTCTCTTGTTGCGAAAGAGTTTTCCGCTGCCGCCACTTGTGAGGGATTCACAAATGGGTGTAGACAAAGGCCGTGGTGCTTCTTATGTCTTTATTCTTCAAGCGGTAAGCGGGGTCACGAGAGAAGGGCACGGATAGCACGGACGTTAAGTAGAGGTCAGCCAAGGGTGTTGACGGTGGCGTGTCTCAGCGCGAACTGCCCGTTCCGACGCGTCCTGGAGAGTTCCTCGGTTCCGCTTGGGCAGCGGATCTCGGCCACGTCAGGTCAACGGCGCGTCTTCCGGTGTCGCTTGGGTACGGCTTGGGGGGGCGCCCTCAGGCGCGTCCTGGAGGGTCCCTTGGTTCCGCTTGGGTAGCGGATATCGGCCGCGTCGGGTCAACGGCGCGTCTTCCGGCGGCGCCTGGGTACGGCTTGGGGGGGCGCCCTCAGGTCACTTAGCGTCTTGCAGCCCATATGTCTCCCGTGATTTCGTGGCTAAAATGTTCTTATTGATTGCCCGAATATTCTTCCGACAGGGGTATTTCGGACTCTTTCAAAAGGGATAGAGGGTGTTTCAAACTTTCATAGGGATAGGGGGTGTTTCGGACTCTTTCAAAGGTATAGGGGGTGTTTCGGACTCTTTCAAATGTATAAGATTATTTCAGATTCTTTGAAACGGTGTTTTGGACTCTTTTATTGGGATTGTTGGTCTTTCGGACTCTTTCATAGGGATGTTTCACACTCTTTCAAGGGGATAGGGGGTGTTTCGGACTCTTTTATAAGGATTGTGGGTGTTTCGGACTCTTTCATAGGGATAGGGGGTTTTTCAGACTCTTTCATAGGGATAGGGGGTGTTTCGGCCTCGTTCAAGGGGATAGGGAGTGTAGAATATTGCAAGTTTAAGTTTTGTTATATGCTTACGGTGATAAAGTTTTCTTTGATTAATAATAAGTTTTATAGAAAACGGTACTAATTTTATTTCATTTTTTGCTGCTGGCATTTTTGATTTGAAATATCTTTGTATGTGGACTATGTTATGTGAAACATACGTGTATATAGGCTGATGTACAACTGAATGAATGGATAATTGTTATTATGAGTCGGATGTCCTGTTTATCTAGTGAAGGAAGTCGAAATATGTGATATGGCCTAGACGTTGCCGCGTTTTCCCGCCAAATTTACCTTAGCAACAAGTAGCCCCGCCCCTTGCAGCATCTATAATTAATGAAAGAGTATGGTTATACCGGAAGGTTGAGTTTGAGACAATCACAGATATGAAGATATACATTGACAATAAGAATGAAATTTAAATATGCATTGACTAATTCTTGATAATAGCTCATTTGCACAAGTGTTTCCATCCTTGAAGTTGATTGGCTCACGCACGAGCAGCGCTTTGTTCTGATTGGTCCACGTGTACTCTGCATTATGATTGGCTGCGAAAGCCTGTGTTAGGCGCCATTACCACTTGGAGGAGGGTTTTTGTTGACGGACACGCTCATAGAAATTGCCTTTGTGCAGTGACATTCTTATTAACGCCAGTATTTCTGGGAAGAGCTGGCAGTTAAAGTGTTAAAGAACTGTTTGAGTCATAGTGATAACCCCAAGACTTCAGTGTAGTCTGGGAAAGAGCACTGGAGTTGGGCTTGTCACCTTGCAGAGTGATTCTACCTTCACATGGTCTTCGCATTGGTTGGTATTAATTGTATACTGTATTTGCATTATATGAATAGTGATGTGCTATTATTTCCATGTAGATCCTATATGTGTCAAGTGCTAATACCTGATATGATGTTTCATATAAGTAAAATTGTCTCATAGATGCAAGGGGTGCAGGCTGGCTACCTGTCATGAGATGGTGTACCTGTCGTGACGTGACGTGCCTGTGGTGATGAGGTGGTGATGTGAAGCGTCAGTGCTACCTGCTTTGGGATACGATGTAAATATTTTTATGTTTATGTGTGATGAATTTGCTACTTGTCTGTCATTTCTAAGTGCTTATACATTCATTTATATATACGGTAGATATGCAAGTTTAGACTAATAAATATTCCTTTTTGTGTGTGTGTGTGTAATGAATGTTCATTGAGTCGGGCTGTATATCTACAGATAGTTCCGATTAATTTCATATATTTATGTGTATCAAGAAAGCCCAGACTTAAATAACTGTGGTACTTTGTTCAATGACCTGTATTTCAGTACATGGTTACCAATGTTTTATTTGTTTGCAGCTCGAATGTCTCCAGGAAAGGATTAAACCGTGTGCAAGAATCCAAGAGATTATTCTTGATGCCCTTATTGATGCAGGTGATGCTGACACGTTGCACTGGTGGCCCTACAGTGTGACGTATTTTGTAGTTGGAGATACTGTGGGCTACAATTCGAGATCTACCCTGTGACGAAGGGTACCTACAGAACACTTGCAAGAGATTCCTAGTCCCAAGTCATGTCTACTAATATGGAAAATATGGTGACCAGAAGTGTGGCAAGATCTGACAGATCTCTGAAATCTCGTGGCTCAAAATGCTCTGTGCATACGCAAACTTCTGAATACCATCTTCGCATGCTGGAATTGCAGTTGCAGCAAGAAATGTTGAATATAGAAAGTAAGTATGAAAGAAGAGAACAAGAACGAGAGAAGGAGTTGCTGAAAATTAAACAAGAAGTTTCACGTATCAGGTTTGTTAATCAAGCTGACCCTGGTACTGACTCGGAAATGAGCTGTGTTTTGGATGTGCAGTTAAAATCTCATTCAGCTCAAGAAATTATTTGTGATAAATGGGCAAGTGATGTTAATTCCCACATTGAAAATGGAACAATAGATCCACAACCCAGATCTGATTTCTGTGCTGCTACTAGTGGAATGGGGTGCCCTTCCAGTGATTTAAAGGGTTGTGAATCGGTTAGTGCTCCCGCTCAGGTGGACATGCAATCAGCATGTCAAGTTCTTGGTCCTATAACCTCAAGTATTGCTCTTCAACAGTCTGCTGTACCTGTGCTGGTTAATACTAACATGCCTGCAAGTCGCCTACCATCAGTTCCTGAATCTCGTGTGCTGTTCACTCAAAGCACTCCTGTGAATCCTTCAGTTCCTCCATTTACAACCTTTTCCAAGACCATGCCAACTGTTCAAACACCCAATCATTCTGGGCATGAAGTGACACATCCTCTCACCATGGGGCAAGCTACCCATATACTGCAAGCATTAGATTCTACGATGATGAGCCAGCAAGAGCTTAGCCGCAGAACACTGCTCCCTCCTATAAAGCTTGAGAGATTTAATGGGGATTTAACCAAGTTTGTCCAGTTCCGCAATACATTTACATGGAATGTAGAAAGCAACACTGAAGATCCCAAGAGAAGGTTGACTCATCTTTACAATCAGCTAGATGGCCCTCCAAGAAAGCTTATAGAAGGATGCCTACACCTGCCTCCAGCTGAGGGATATGAAATGGCATGGACGTTGTTGAATAAGGAATATGAAGACTCGCATAACCTTATTGAGACATCAGGAAACTACTGGAGTGGAAGGACATTGATGTGAGTGATGTAGAAGAGTTAGAGGAGTATGGTTCTTATCTCTTCAATGTGCAGTGTGCTCTCAGAGAAAATATTATGAGGATGGAGCTAAGGGAAGTGATGACTAAAGTGGTTAGCAAACTACCCAAGTACCTACGAAATAAATGGGCAGCTAGGTGTGTGAGGAATCAGGATACTCCTTCCCCTCATTAGTAGCCTTTGTCAAGGAGCAAGCCAAGGTTGCAAAGGAAGGCAGGTATATCGAAGAAGCGCGAAGTAAACAACTTTCTATTAGGAGAAAAGTTGCTGTAATCAATAAGCCTAAAGGACTCACTGTAAGTACAACACATCCAGTCTGTGAATCTAACATTGGGACAGATGATTGTCTTTGTTGCAATAAACGAGGTCATGCTTTACATGCCTGTTTCAAGTTTGGCAGATTAAATGTACAAGATCGCTGGAATACGGCCATGTCCAAGAGGCTGTGTTTCCGTTGCCTTAAACCCTCTCATGGCCATAGAGACTGCAAGGATAAAAGTAAATGTGGTCAGTGTGGTGCAGATTCACATCACACAATTCTGCACAGACCTCTGTTCAAAACATCCTACACTTCAGCACAAAGGACGGTAAAATTAACACGAGGGAGAGAACTGAGCCGTAGCACCTATGGAGACAGCCAGAACCAAAATGAGGTAAGTGGGGGTGGTGTGAAGAACAAGGTTGAGGATGTACTGCCTTGTGCGTCACTTACCAACTATAATCCAGATGGCAGAATAATGATGAAAATCCTACCCGTTAAGGTCAACAATAAAATTTACACGTACGCCTTCATAGATTGTGGTGCTGCAGTTACATTAGCTGCCAGAAGTTTAATTAAGAAGCTTGGCATTAAAGGTAAACACATAAGCCAAACGATGCGCACCGAAAATGGAGACTTCAAGTGTGATGAACTGGTCTCTCTATCAATTGGAAGTGTGGATGAGGAAGAGGATCTGATGTTGGATGATGTTTTGTCACTGGGAAGCTCAGTGTGACTACAGACCACATGATGCCAGTCCGGTGGGTTAGTCAATGGTCACATTTAAGTGACATTAAACTTAGTAGATTGCCTCCTCAGTACAAAGATGTTGAGCTTATAATCGGCTGAACAGCTTCCTGTGTCGTCACATTCTCAGTCAACGGCATGGCCAAGAAAATGAACCATCTGCTTACCTCACAAGGTTTGGTTGGGTAGCATTTGGACCAACAGGACTAAAGAATTCTATCCAAATTCGACATGTCCACCACATACAACCCACAGATAATTTGAGAGAATGCCTGCAAGAACACTTTAATAAGGATTTTTGGGAGAAGGAGATTCATTCCCGCCATGAAGATTCTGTTGAAGATAAATTGTTTACAGTGAAGGTGTCAGAATCCATTCGTCAGGAATCTGGAAAGTATATTCTCAATCTTCCCTTTAGAAATAAGTTTCGACTCCCAAACAATCGCAAGATGGCCATACACCGCCTGATAGGACTAAAGAAGAAACTGGAAAATGATGATGCCTATCGACAGTCCTATGTGTCCTCAGTTGAAAATTACATCAGCAAAGGATATGCTGAGCTTGTGCCAACCACTTTGTTGGACCGAGATGATGGCAGAGTATGGTATATGCCACACCATGCTGTGCACCATCCCACGAAGCCCAAGCTTAGAGTCGTCTATGATCTTAAGGCTAAATTCCAAGGAATCTCGCTGAATGATCATCTCCTACAAGGCCCAGACCTAACAAATGCATTGATTGGTGTGATCCTAAGGTTTCGCCAAGGTCAATATGCTGTCACGGCAGACATAGAAGAAATGTTTCATCAGGTGAAAGTTCCCCCAGAAGATCGAGATGTACTCCGCTTCCTGTGGTGGCCAGGAGGAGATACCAGTCGAGCACCTGTAGAGTATCGTATGTCTGTCCATGTTTTTGGAGCCAAGTCATCACCCAGCTGTGTTAACTTTGCCCTCAGAAGAACAGCAGAAGAGCATGGTAGTCAGTATGGCAATGAAGTGATTGAGGTAATTAGAAGAAACTTTTATGTAGACAATCTCCTCATAGCATCTGATGACAAGGAATCTATGAAACAGTTGGTGAAAGACCTCATTGATTTTTGTGCTGCAGGAGGTTGGCGCCTGAATCAGTGGACATCTAACAACAAAACATTCTGGCGACAATTCCTGAAGCCGAGCGAGACATTTCAGTTGCATCTCTGGACTTGAGTAAGGATGAACTTCCAATGGAAAGAACTCTGGGAATGCATTGGTCAATGGAGAATGACTATTTCACCTACAAGATCAATCCAAACGACAAGCCACTAACTCGGCGAGGAGTGTTGTCAGTAGTGGCTTCCATCTATGATCCTTTGGGTATGGTAGCACCTTTCACCTTGCCTGCTAAGCTGCTGTTACAAGACATGTGCCGACAGCAGTTGGGATGGGACGAGGAGATGGAAACGGCTGAGGTGACACAATGGAAGGCATGGCTCAATCAACTTCCCAAGCTGATAAACTTCAAGGTGCCTAGAAGTTTTATTCCCATGTCCTTTGGCACTGTCAGGTCCTGTCAATTACATCATTTTGCAGATGCAAGTCAAGTTGGATATGGTATTGCCTCATACTTGAGGCTTGAAAGTGCCACTGGTGAAGTCTACTGCACTCTGGTAATGGGAAGATCAAGAGTAGCTCCATTGAAAAGGATGACCATTCCAAGATTAGAGTTAACTGCTGCGACTGTAGCAGCACGTATGGATCAAAAGCTACGCTCAGAACTGGACTTGAGATTAGAAAAGTCTGTCTTCTGGACTGACAGTACTTCTGTATTGAAGTATTTATTTAATGAAAAGGCGAGATATCAAACATTTGTGGCCAATAGGGTGAATCTCATTCGTGAATTATCACCTATTGAAGCTTGGAGGTATGTAGAGACTCGGTCTAACCCAGATTTAGCTTCAAGAGGAGTTGACATGGACAGCTTCCTCGCCTCTTCAATCTGGATCACTGGGCCGACCTTTCTTAGTGAAAATGAGAAAATGTGGCCCATACTACCAAATGACGTCAAGAGAGGAACCTTAGAGGACGACCCAGAAGTAAAATCACCACAATTAGTCTGTGAAACAGTCATCACAGCAATGTCATTCATTGAGGAAATTGCCAGTCGCTTCTCGAATTGGATGACATTTGTGCACTGCATTGCCTGGCTAAGACGCTTTCACAGAACTCTGACACAAAGACTCAAGTCTTCAGTGGAAGCTGACATGACAAGAAAATGTCTGTGCATTGAAGAAGTATATGAAGCTGAGAACAACATTTGGAGGCTTGTACAAAAGGACTCATTTGGTGCTGAAATTAAGATACTCTCAGGCAGTGAAGAAGCTCATGTACGGTCCTCTAGCAAGTTGGTTAAGCTAAAGCCTTGCCTGAAGGATGGACTACTTAGAGTGAGAGGACGACTCATCCACTCTCCTAGTAGTATTGATGTCAAACATCCAATAATTCTGCCAAGTAAATCCATGGCTGTGAAATTAATGGTGCAGTGGAAGCATAATAACTTAGCACACAGTGGCCACAATTATCTTATGGCTGAGTTACGCCAAAGGTTCTGGATTATACATGGCAATGCAGTGGTACGCTCTGTCATCCGGAATTGTGTGAGGTGCAGATCTCTCAGTGCTCGGCCAATGATCCAAGAGATGGCTGATCTACCCGAAGACCGCATCACATCAAATGTACCTCCCTTCACACACACTGGGACCGACTGTTTTGGGCCCTTCCTAGTTAAGAAAAGCAGGTCAAATTTGAAACGTTATGGAGTCATATTCACCTGCTTGGTGACTAGAGCCATCCACATAGAAGTGGTGGAGTCAATGGAAACTGATTTCTATATTAATGCTTTTAGAAGGTTCATTGCCAGGCGAGGCCCGGTCACCTCCATCCGGTCTGACAATGGGACAAATCTTGTGGGAGCTGAGAAGGAGCTTCGCAAAGAACTTGAGAAATTGAAGCACTCTGTGATTGCAGAGGTCATGTTGCTCAAGGGTGTCACATGGCAGTTCAATCCTCCTCATGCTTCGCACTTTGGCGGAGTATGGGAACGCCAGATTCGCACAATTCGACGAGTACTCCGTGGCCTGTGTCACCAGCAGGTCATGACAGATGACACTCTGCACACCCTATTCTGTGAGGTAGAAGCTATCATAAATGGCAGGCCATTAACCAGGGTTACTGATGATCCTGATGGTCCTCAACCACTAACACCCAACATGCTGCTAACCCTGAAAGGTGCAGGAGGTCCAATAACGGATACTGATCATAGTGATCTTTGAGTTCAATACCTGGCAGACCTCTTCTGGAAGAGGTGGACAAAGGAATATCTTCCACTTCTCCAGGAACGCCAGAAGTGGACCACGAGACAGCGTAACCTGAAGGTTGGAGATATTGTTCTGAGCCTAGACAACAAACTGCCCCGAGGTTCATGGCCTTTGGGACGTGTGCTGGAAGTGATAAGTGATGCTGATGGTCACGTGAGGAGTGCTCGCTTGAAAACTGCTAGTGGAGAGTACCTCAGACCAATTAGCAAGATGTGTCTTTTGCTAGAAAATGAAATAGATGTAGGTGTCAGTAAAGGGTGTACGCCGAACGCTGCCCTTAAATGCTGAAGTTACAATATTCTTTGTAATATTTAGTGTACCACTAAATAGGGGGCGGTGTAGAATATTGCAAGTTTAAGTTTTGTTATATGCTTACGGTGATAAAGTTTTCTTTGATTAATAATAAGTTTTATAGAAAACGGTACTAATTTTATTTCATTTTTTGCTGCTGGCATTTTTTATTTGAAATATCTTTGTATGTGGACTATGTTATGTGAAACATACGTGTATATAGGCTGATGTACAACTGAATGAATGGATAATTGTTATTATGAGTCGGATGTCCTGTTTATCTAGTGAAGGAAGTCGAAATATGTGATATGGCCTAACGTTGCCGCGTTTTCCCGCCAAATTTACCTTAGCAACAAGTAGCCCCGCCCCTTGCAGCATCTGTAATTAATGAAAGAGTATGGTTATACCGGAAGGTTGAGTTTGAGACAATCACAGATATGAAGATATACAT